CTCCCAAATAGCTGGGAGTACAGGCTTGAGCCACTTGCCTGGCTACTACACCCTGTTGTATAGATGGAGAAACTGAGTACCAGAGAAAAGATAAGCAGCTTGTCCAGGATCACACAACTCCCAAGTAGTGCAATGGACTTCAGACTTGGCGTTGGTCTGACTATAAGCACACACTTTGAGCCTACAACCACACACTGTGCTGTTGCTGTCTCCCTGTGTTGATGGCAGTTTTCCCATCTCTGAGCCTCAGTTTTCACACTTTTAAAATGAAAGTGTCAATCTGTATGTTAGCCTGTTTTGTGCTGCTCTAACAGAATACCTGAGACTGCATAATTTATAATGAACTAGAAGTTTATTGGCTCATGGTTCTGGAGGCTAGGAAGTTCAAGAGCAAGGCCTTGGCATCTCCTGATGGCCTTCTTGCTGCATCTTCCCATGGTGGAAGGTGAGAAGGGCAGAGAGAGACAGACGGGAGGGGCAGGACACCGAACTTACCCTTTTATAATAAGCACACTCCTCCATAGTGGCATTAATCCATTCTTGAGGGCAGCCTCATGGCCTAATTGCCTCTCATTAGGCCCCACCTCTCATCACTTGCATTGGGGTGAAGTTTCCAATGCTTGCTTTTTGAAGGACACATTTAAACCATAGCAGTCTATTACTGAGATTTGTTTTGTTTTGTTTTTTTGAGACAGAGTCTCCCTCAGTCGCCCAGGCTGGAGTGCAGTGGTGCGATCTGGGCTCATTGCAACCTCTGTCTCCCGGGTTCAAGCAGTTCCCCTGCCTCAGCCTTCCAAATAGCTGGGATTACAGGCGCACGTCACCATGCCTGGCTAATTTTTGTATTTTTAGTAGAGATGGGGTTTCACCATGTTGGCCAGGTTGGTCTCAAACTCCGGACCTCAGGTTATCTGCCTGCCACGGCCTCCCAAAGTGCTGGGATTATAGGCATGAGCCACCATGTCCAGCCTGTTCCTGAGATCTTTACAACATCGAGACATAAAACTATATAAGGTCCTGGCCAGGCACAGTGGCTTACGCTTGTAATCCCAAACATTTTGGGAAGCCGAGGCGGGGGGATCACCCAAGGTCAGGAATTTGAGAACAGCCCGGCCAATGTGGTGAAACCCTGTCTGTACTAAAAATGCAAAAATTAGTTGGGCGTGGTGGCAGGTACCTGTAATCCCAGCTACTCAGGAAACTGAGGGAAGAGAATTGCTTGAACCCGGGAGGTGGAGATTGGCAGTGAGCTGAGATCACGCCCACTGCACTGCAGCCTGTATGACAGAATGAGACTCCTTCTCAAAAAAAAAAAAAAAAAGCTATATAAAGGCTTGATGCCTGGTTCATTGTCTACTAACTCTTCAGTTTAGTCTTCATTCCACAGATTTTTACCAGACACTGTCACAGTGAGATGCTATTAGACTTCAGACATGTGGACCTGGTCTGGAGGATGGCCTGTGTTCACCTGATAGCTCCATACTTCAAGGCCACTTGTGATAAGTACCCAGTCTTTAGCTGTAAACCTTGCCTCTCATTCCACAACACCAAAGGAAATCATATGTGTTTGATTCCTTGTAGATGGAACCATACATTTGTGCTTAGGGAGCGGGAACTCCAGTGCTTTCATCAAGATGGAAGTAGTGCCTGTGAAGTAGAGCCAATATGGATTGAAATCAATATTGTTTTATTTTTTTCCCTACTGCCTCTGTAATTGCAGAAAAAGAAGTAATCAGTTTTATCAGCTAATACTGATTTAAATAAATAGTCACAAATGATTCTGATATGAACAGAATCATTTTGGAGTGGAGGCTATGTGGGGCACATGTAACCCCTATACATTATCACCTAGAGAGTTTGGTTCACTTTCTATCTCTACCTTAGAGTAAGACACAAGTCTCCAAGGACCTACATGTTATCACCTGTGAGATAAGGATACTATCCTACTAAAACACTTAAGTAACAGAATTTATATTGTAAAATATAAAGCTTTAAACAAATGTTTGGTATCATTATGCTGCTGAAAATACAATGTTCCAGTGGTGTCCTCTGTCCATTTTATACCCCCAATGATACTTATCTATTTACTAGAATGCATCTGAGATGCCAAGCTCAGGAGATTCTTGGAGTCCTGCGCTGTGTGCCCTTCTGCTAGGTGGCCCTATACTCAGAAGCATTCTTAGGTGCTTGTCTACACTTCCTTCCCCTTTCTGGTCAGGGTCCCTGCCTGCCCCTGGAGCCTCCTCTCCAAGAGGTGGGAGTGGAGCTGATGTCAGCAGGGAAGAGGGGCTTATTGCTCTCAGTGATGCTTATTATTTTATTTACATTCTTAATGGTTTGAGTTTTTGTTTTTTTAAGAGATGGGGTCTTGCTTTGTTGCCTGGCTGGACTTGAACTTCTGGGCCCCATTGTGCCTTACTTGTTTTATTTTTCAAATTTTTTATTTTGTAAATGTACCTTTTAGAAATTAATCTTTAAAAAATATGTGTGTGTGTGTATCTATGAACAATGAAGAATCTGCTGGTCATCTCTGTCCCCATCCACCCAGCTCCCTCTTCCTCCTTACAAGTAAATCACTGTTGTAAACTTCTTGTATATTATTCCTGCATTTCTTTATGCAAATACAAATAAATATGAGTATTCTTCTTATTCTCCTCCTCCCCCCCAAAAAAGGATACCATACATACACTGTTCTTTCTGTCTTTTTTTTTTTTTCGCTTGACAGTATAGCCTTGCTTTTGTGCGGACTAGACCATCTAAAATTTTGTGTACTCATAATTACTTGATAGCATAAAGACTCTCAAATCTCCATTAGCTGACATAATTAATTTTCAATGAGTATACCTTTGGCAAGTCCTTTTAGGCTTATTTTTGTGATTTTAAATGCTTCCTGCCTAGCTCTATAAAGGAAAACCTGGCACCATCTTCAGAAGTTTCAGAGCTAATGAAGTATCTCATGTTTCGGCCTTTGTGTGTACAGAATAAATGTTTTTCTCAGTACACTTACCCATTGTGGTGTTCTCAGTTTATGAGCCCTTGCTATAATTTTCAAAGCTTCCTTTTATCATTTGTCTTCCTTCTTCCAGATAAACCAACTACTAGGAACTTTTAGTTGTTGATCATTAAATTCTGTCAAAATTGCCTGTTTGTTTTTTGTGGTCAGTATTTTAATCTCCCTTATTTACAATCCTGCCAGACTTCCCCACCTTCCCCTGCTCTCCAGAAAAATAAAATCCAACTCAAACAATTACTTAGCAAACCACCCTTACAGAGTGAAGTTAAAAAAAAAATTTCTGTTTCAGTAAAAAGATTTTGAAAGATCTCTTGACTTCAACAAAACTGTAGTTAAAAAATAAAAATACTCTAGTAGTAATTGAAGGGTAGAGATAGTATAATGAGGGAGCAGAAATAGAGAAAGCAGCTGACATTGCCAGAAGAGAAGTAGTGTTCTGCTTTTTCCCACATGTAGTTGTTTAGGACATGTGACTCAGAATATGCGAATTAGTGTAGTAACTACAGCAGAGTCTCTTGGGTTATGTTAGTTATTTGCTCAATTGTGAGATAGCATATGTATAAACTTATTCCTCCCAGACTTCTCTCCTGAAATCTTAACTGCAGTCTGCTTTGTGGAATTTCTTCTTAAGAGACCTTGAATACCGATTGTTACTTGTTCATGGGCCATCTGAAGATTCTGGATGTTATTTTATTTTTTGAGACAGAGTCTTCTTCTGACCCCCAGGCTGGAGTGCCATAGCACAATCTTGGCTCACTGCAACCTCCACCTTCCAGGTTCAAGTGATTCTCCTGTCTTAGCCTCCCAAATAGCTGGGACTACAGGCACCCGCCACTATACCCAGCTAATTGTTTTTGTGTTTTTAGTAGAGAAGGGATTTCACCAAGTTGGGCAGTCTGGTCTCAAACTCTTGACCTCAGGTGATCTGCCCGCCTCAGCCTCCCAGAGTGCTGGGGTTATAGGCGTGAGAGCCTCTGTGTCCAGCTTGGAAGTTATTTTAAATAGTTTTTTTCTTGGGGGGTGGGGGATGAAAGCAAATTTTGTTAAGAGTTAGTAATGCTGAATGATTTTGTGTTCCTTTATCATTTATTCGTTTACCAAATACTTATTGAGGCCTGTTCTGTGCTAAATAGGGGGGAGATGGTACTGAATTAGACAGAAGAGCCCCAGTATGCCTGCTAGCTCTTTCCATGTTTAGATTTTGATTTCTCGTGCTATAATACAGTAGATGAGCCTGGCATTGAGAGTGAGTAGTCTTGGATTTAGGTTCTGAGACGGCCATTTATTTATTGTGAGACCTCTGGTACTTAAAACTCTGAGCCAGCACACCTGTAATCCCAATACTTTGGGAAGCTGAGGTGGGTAGATTGCTTAAGCCCAGGAGTTCAAGACCAGCCTGGGCAAATTGGCAAAACCCCATCTCTACAAAAAATACGATAATTATCTGTGCATGGTGGCATGCCCCTATAGTCCCAGCTACTTGGGAGGCTGAGATGGGAGGATCACTTGAGCTCAGGAGGTGGAGGTTGCAGTGAGCCAAGATCATGCCCCTGCACTCCAGCCTGGATGACAGAGCAAGACCCTGTCTGAAAAAGAGAAATTTTTAAAAAGCACAAAAATCCGGAGTCCGTCTTTCATCTGCATATGGAGGAATCTTGCAGGGTGGTTGGAATTAGCTAGTATATGTGAGTACATTGTTCTCTGCAGTGGTCTTTATAGTGTCTTACAAAATTCATGATCACTTTTCTGGATCCCTTGCATTTTCTAGCTGCATTTTCCTCAACTGGGCTTGGGAAATACTAGGTTTGGAATTTGTGATGGGGAGCTGTTGCTACTTTACAGGGGAGTTAGCTTCATGCGTGTTGAAGCATTACGAGAGTGTGAGCGGAACCAGCCTCTGATTCTTGGCTCAGTGCTGACCCTTGGACTGGAGAGTCCAGTCGTCAGCAAGAACACAGTTTAATGAGAAGCAATTAAGAGTACAGTCTCCAAACCATAGTTTTAATTTCAAATTTCAATTTCTTGCTTCTCCACTTGCTGCCTACTCAAACTTAAGCAAGTAATTGGAATATCTCTCATAATGTGCCCTAGGATTAATTAATGCTGTAGTTAAAAGAAAAACAACATCAGCTATATGATCGTATAAAAGACTTAATAAAATGTAGATTTAGGCTGGGAAGCCGTTAACTAACCATTCGTCATTAAAGAGGGAGGAAGCAAGAGGACCCACTTGGGTAGGCTGGGACACATTGCTGTGGTTCACTTCTACTTTTTGCTTTTGCTTCTAATTGGAGATATCTAATCTGAGACATCCTGATTGTCAGAGGGAATGTGGAGTGGAGGGAAGAGGAGGCGCTCTGGAGCCAGGCAGCCTGAGTTCAGATTCCAGCAACCCCATTTCTGGCTGCTTAACTGTGTTGTGTCTTACCTGCAGAAAAAATGAGTTAGTACACACATAGTAAGCAGTGATAACTTTAGCTGTGATTATTTCAAAGGGTCTTTTGAGCAGCTGCTTCTTCAAGAGAACATCCGGAGACACAGGAATAGAAATGATCCGATCAAAGTAATTAAAGGCTTTTTGATTGCCCTGAGCTCTGAGGTCAGGGCACTTTCAGTCAGCCTGAAGCTGTGAAGAAGAACCTTCAGCATAAGGTGGGTGTCCTCTCTTAGGGTAGTGGAGAACTACATCATTAGGCTAGTAATGTAAGCAATGAGTTACTTATGTATTATGTTATGGTTTAACTTACTGTGGTCGTGCTCTTTTATTTGGGAGATGGCGCGAGATGTTGGGCTCCCTTCTGCCAGTAGATAACAGGGTTTCCTTTTCATTGGCTTGTGCTGCAGCCTTCCAGTATTGCAGGTTTCCAAGTGTTTGTAGTGAATTTCTGGCCAGGGCATCCATGTCTCTTCTGCTGAAGGTGCTGGCCAGGGTGTGTGCTGACTGCTGCGCTGCTCCTAGGCCATTACCTGGATTTAGTCATCAGTGTTGGAGCCCCCAAGTCTGTTTACAATCTTGTTACTCTTCCCAGCGAAGTCTCCACCTTCTGTTTCACGGCGTATTTCTTGACGCAGTTTTATTTTGGTTGTAGACCTCTTGGAGCCCTTTGTCCCAGGGAAGTGAGATGTCCCTTGTAGTAGATACCTTACTTCAAGAACAGAGTCTCAGCTGAGCTCCTGCTTTGTATGAAACACTCTCCAGGGCACTTGTACAAAAATGAGTAGAAATGTATTGCCCCTGTATTTCAGAGGCCCACAGACCAGTGATGGAGCAAGCACGGATCCAGATAATTTAGACGCCTATAATTTGGTCCTTTCAATTTAGTTTGAAAGTGGCCATGGGAGAGGCAGGAATGGTATCTCTTGACACACAGGAGGCCAGTTGCTAGGCTTGGGGTGTGGGGAACCTTCACAGAGCAGGAAGCATTTGAGTTGGATATTGAGAGTGAGTGGGGCCTGAAAGGTTTAGAATAGAGAGAATAGTTAAATTAGGTCATTAAAGATTTGTGGAACACCTGCTGGGTGCCAGAAACTGGGTGTAAAATCAGAGGAAGTTTGACTGCACTGACTTTGCTGTCTCTTCTGTGCTATTCCTTAATGCTCAGTAGATGTTTTCACCAGGTGACTGCTGCGTTCCCCAAGCCACCTGGCAGACACGTTTTGCCTCTGAAATCATCTCTGTGAAGCTTCCTGACAGCCCCTCTGTGTGAGTTTCCCAGGGCCGCTGTAACAAAGTGCCACAGACCAAACCAGGGGCTTAAACAACAGAAATGTGTCATCTCACAGCTCTGGGGGCCAGAAGTCTAAGTTCAGGGTGTGGGCAGGGCTGGTTCTTCCTGAGGCCATGAGGGAGAATGGGCCCCATCCTCTAGCTGCTCCTTGTGGTATTCAGCAGTCCTTGGCGTTCCTTGGCTTGAGGAAGCACAGCCTCAACCTCTGTTTTCATCTATACTTGGTTATCCCTGTGTGTGTCTCTTTGTCCACATTTTCCATTTTATAAGGACATTAGTCATTTTGGTTTAGTCCACCTTGTGGACCCCATCTTAATTAATTACATCTATAGCGACTGTATTTCCAAATAAGGTCATATTCTGAGGAACTGGGGGTTAGGGCTTCAACATGTGAATTTTGGGGAGTGGACACAATTCAAGTCATAACATCCTCTGTCTGTTCTTTCTACCTCCCATGCATGGACACTTTCTGCCTGCTGATACACTGTAAGTAGAGTTCTGTCATGCACTAAGAGCATTTTGTCTGTCAACTCCTACTCTTTGTATTTTTTAATCTCTGGTGCCTTGTGTGTAATGTGGAAAGTGTCTCCTGATGCAAATTTATTATGCATCAGGAGTTAGTAGAAATAAGGGAAGATATTGCAGGGGTCACTTCTCTTTTTGGTTTCCTATTGACAATTCCAAAAGCTCTCTGGAGTTGGGTGCCAGGTGGCCAGGGACACTACCAGGGGATACCACTTTCATTATCTCCTGACTTTTTTTCTATGGAGCAGTAATTCATTATTAGCTGACAATCATTGTGCTTTCTGAGGAATGTTTTAAGAGTGTTAGAAATCTGACAAGATCCTTTGGGTCCTCTAGCAAGCATTTGTATAGAGGCTTTCTTTAATGGGTCCCTTCTTCCTTGTTTCAGCCTTAGGTTTTCGTGTTCCAGCTTTAGGGTTTCAAAAGTAAATCATGTGAATGCTAGGAGTAGTTACCCATTAGCAAAGATGTCTGTGCCAGAAGGGAGATGCCAAGAAATAATTGAATCTGTCCAAAAGTTTCAGAATGACCTCATTATATATTTTAGAGAAGCAAAAATTTGTCTGGTTTCTGACCTGAGGTTTAGTTACACATTAATAAGGATGGATCATCCTGGGGCTGCAGTACTTCTGCTAAGAAAGAATATTCCAGCATACTCTTTGTTATTTCCGGGTCAGTAAGTAATGTGCTAGGCAGATTGATGTCTTCTGGGACATTAGAAAAGGGATGTTAATTGGACTAAATAGTGCTATCCGGTCAGGATTTTCTTCAATGCCATTTAGCACACCAGCTGTCCTTTGTACAGCTAGCCAAAATTTGTATAATGCAATGGGGTACTTTTTTACAGTTTTCACACTTTAGATGTCACATGAGGGGTTCTTCACACTGGTCTCCTGGAACCCGGTCTAGCAAAATTAGAGGAAAGGCTCTAAGGAGATTTGTCTCTGTTAAGAGAAAAAATTAACATTTTCCGGCTAAATCGTTGAATCTACTAAAGATAACAAATAATGTCTACTATCTCAACCCTCCAAAGATTGAAAAGTGTTAGGATTGTCATTTGTGGTTTTTGTAGGGTAGTTGAATAAAAACTGGGCAGCTAAAATTTTCAGTTCTGTGTGCCTCCTAAACAAAAACCTAAATAAGTAGTTTGTGAATTGACTGCAGACAAAATAGAAACTGCTGCATGCTGTTTTTTGTAAGCAAATGACATTTTCTTTTCTTTTTTCTTTTTTCTTTTTTGAGATGGAGTCTCGTCTGTTGCCCAGGCTGGAGTGCAGTGGTGCAGTCTCAGCTCACTGCAACCTCTGCCACCCAGGTTCAAGTGATTCTCCTGCCTCAGCCTCCCGAGTAGCTGGGACTACAGGAGCATGCCACTACACCCAGCTAATTTTTTGTATTTTTAGTAGAGATAGGGTTTCACTGTGTTAGCCAGGATAGTCTTGATCTCCTGACCTTGTGATCCTCCCGCCTCGGCCTCCCAAAGTGCTGGGATTACAGGTGTGAACCATTGCGCCTGGCCCAGATGACATTTTCTAACCATGCACATGCCATCCAATTTTCCTGTCCTTATACCATTTTCTTGTTCCTTATACCATTGTATAAGGTAACGAAACTGAAGGGGGAAGATGATGGTTAAAAACACTGAACTGCTTTTATCTCATTTGAGATAATTGGTTTAAGTGTCTTGACTTTTTTTTTTTTTAAGGTGGAGTTTTGCACTTGTTGCCCAGGCTGGAGTACAATGGCATGATCTCGGCTCACCGTAATTTCCACCTCCTCGGTTCAAGCAATTATGGTGCCTCAGACTCCCGAATAGCTGGGATTACAGGCATGTGTCACCACGTCTGGCTAATTTTTGCATTATTAGTAGAGACTGGGTTTCTCTATGTTGGTCAGGCTGGTCTCAAACTCTCGACCTCAGGTGATCTGCTTGCCTCAGCCTCCCAAAGTGTTGGGATTATAGGCATGAGCCACTGCACCTGGCCTAGCATCTTGACTTTTTATATTTGGAAACATTAAATAAAAATGGAAATAATTTTTTAAATAAGGGATGTTAATGTTAAGATAGCGGTTCATCCTGATCTCAGTAGTATCAGCCTGAAAAAGCATGCTGAAATATCTTTATCTGAAGGCAGGCAGAGACCAGCTTATGTAAAGTCTGCAGGTACTTTCTTCTGAGAACAAGAAGGATCATGAAGCGTTTCAAACACACAAAATAGTGCGGTGCAATGACCTAACCTTCTGCTCTAACCTTCATCCAGCGTCAGTGGTCAGTTCATGGCTAGACTTGCATAACCTCATTTCCCCTTCCCCTTCCCCCCATCCAACAGACCCAGTGGCCTGGGGCCTCTCCTGGCCCCTAGGAATTCACAGCCTAGGGAGAGACCCCCACAGAGGCAGACCGTCCCCTCACAGTGACAGTCACTTGCCCATTGGATACCAGCAGCTAGAGAGGGACCTTGTCATCTCCACCCCCAAGCCCAGTGTTCAGCCCAGGCCCTACCACAGGACGAGGGGTCCCACCACAGGACGAGGGAGCCCCGCCAATGTTTTGGGCACATACAAGTTTTAGGTACATTTCAGATGTCATTTTATCCAGAAACATTTTTGTATCTAATGTAATCATTATAATGCTACACCTAAAATGTAAAACTAATTTCTTAATACCATCAAAATCCAGCTAGTGTTCAAATATTTTGTTGTCTCAAATGTCACTTTTAGATTTTTATTTTATAGTTTGTTTCATTCAGGATCATGTGAAGGTCCACATATTAGTTCTCAGATTTTAAGCTGAGTGCGTGACATGATCTGACTTACATTTATTTATTTATTTATTTTGAGATGTCACTATTTTGTCACCAAGGCTGGAGTACAATGTCTGCTCACTGCAACCTCTGCCTCCTGGGTTCACACGATTCTCCTGCCTCAGCCTCTGGAGTAGCTGGGATTACAGGTGCACACCACCACACCTGGCTGATTTTTTGTAGTGTTAGTAAAGACGGGGTTTCACCATGTTGGCCAAACTGGTCTCGAATTCCTGACCTCGTGATCCACCCGCCTCAGCCTCTCAAAGTGCTGGGATTACTGGCGTGAGCCATTGTGCCTGGCCCTGACTTATATTTTAAAACTCTCTATGGCTGAATTTTAGGGAATGGATTGCTGTGGGAATTGTTAAGAAGCTGGAAGTAGAGAAACGAATTAGGAGGCTGTTGAGTGTCCGGGAGGTGAGTGATGATAACCTGGATTTGAGTGACAGGTAGGGAATGGGAGATGTGGAGGAAGCAGATATCACACGGGCAGGCCATGCTTGTTTGTCGAAGTTCATCTAGACTGTTTTTTTCTGTTGTGTGTGTTTATTTGAAAATATTATTCCCAAAGATTTCATTAATTTAGCTATCAACATATTGTTGATGGTGAAATCTTAAAATTTATTGCATAATTATAGCAGTATTACAGAATATTGAGATAAATGTTCATCCATAATCAACTTACTCAAATTTCTTCCAGCTTATTTGCCATTATATCATCTTGCCAGTGTATAATTATAATGTAGCATTACATAATAGAATAAGATACAGTTTTCTACTTAATATGTTTTATACTCTTTATCTATATTATGCTAAAGAGTCTCCATAGTTACATGATACTGTATTGAGCAGATTTTAATGTTAATGTCACATTTATTTATTTGAGACAGGGTCTTGCTCTGTCCCCCAGGCTGGAGTGTAGTGGTGCCATCATGTCTCTCTGCATCTTTGACCTCTCAGCTCAAGTGATCCTCACATCTCAGCCTCCTGAGTAGCTGGGACTACAGGTGCACGCCATCTTTCCTGGCTCTTTTGACTTTTTTGTTGAGATGCAATCCTTACTATGTAAGCTAGACAGCTTTGAATTCCTGGGCTCAAGTGATCCTCCTGCCTCGGCCTTTCAAAGTGCTGGTATTAAATACATGCATGCGCCACCACACCTGGCCTGTTCCTACTTTTAAAATTATTTTATTTTAAATTGGTTTAAATTTATTTTAAGATACTCTAAAAAAATGTTCCAGAAGTTATTTTGCATGTTTCTCTCTCTTTTTTTTTTAAACTTTTTGATTCAATAATAATAATTCTTGATTAAATAATAATGTTTTTTGTTTGTTTTGAGACGGAGTCTCGCTCTGTTGCCCAGGCTGGAATGCAGTGGCACGATTTAGCTCATTGCAACCTTTGCCTCTCTGGTTCAAGTGATTCTTGTGCGTCAGCCTCCCGATTAGCTGGGATTACAGGCATGCACCCCTACACCCAGCTGATTTTGGTATTTTTAGTGCAGACAGGGTTTCACCATGTTGCCCAGGCTGGTCTCAAACTCCTGAGCTCAGGCATCCACTTGCCTTGGGCTGCCAAAGTGCTAGGATTACAGACATGCGCCACCATATCCAGCAAATAATAACTTCTTAATTGACAAAAAGGAAGTACAGGTTTGTACTTAAATGTAGAATTTTGCTTAATCTTGATTATTGGGCTCAGAATGTGTATACTTTCATTTTGATTGAAGTTTATAGACTTCCTTATTGAAGGAACAGAGCATATACTTACTGGCCTGCAGTCTTTATCTTATCCCACTCACATAGCAATGTGTAACTAGAGGAAAGCAATACCTGCCTTACCTTAAATATGTTGGTTTTTACAAAGATTCCTTTCTTTCAGTATCTTCTGGGAACCAGAAAATAGCTATTGTTACCTCTAAAATATACCCTCATATCCTTATTTACTGATGAAAATGGCTTATAATTGGGACTCATAGCGATTTTCTTTCATCTTTTATTTTTTTTTTGAAACACTGAAGGAGAACATTT